AGCGAGCAGACGCTGAGAAAGGAGGGCATATGGAGAGAGAGAGGGGGGGGGTCACGCATGCCCATTAAGTGGGGTCAGGCTGGCGCTACCTAGTCCAATATTTCATATACGCTGACGACGTCGCCTTGTGGAACTGGGGCCCTAACAGGAACGTGCCAGCTGTCTGATCTTGCCTGCAGAGTGCACTGAATGCTGCAAACAACCATATCGCATCTGTAGGTCTGGCTGTTTCTCTGGCCAAAACTGAGGCACTTCCTGTGCACCCCAGACCAATTACATGCATCAGAGTGGGCTGTCTAACCATCAAGGGCACCACAATACTGTGGGAGAAAGCTGTGACTTATCTCGGGCTTCACGTCGACCATCAGCTGTACTGGGGCCCCGCAGTGAAGGAAGCCATGGTGAAGATAACCCAGAAGGCTGTGAACGGCATCTTCCTCAGTGGCCACGGCTGCTCACAATTATGGGCTCTTCGTTATTACACAGCAGCAGCATCATAGCTGCTGTACGCATTTTCCGTGGTAGCACTTTCTCAGCGGCTTTTGGAGCGCCTTGAGTTGCTGCATAGGGGATTCATTTGCTGTGTTCTCAGCCTGCCGCGGTCCTCTCAAGTCGCATCCACCGTGGCAGAGGCAGGTGTCTGGCCTCTGTTCCTGCTCCTAAAGCAACGAGGGCTTCTACACATTTATCGTCTAGCCCATGCGCCTGATGGGTGTCCCCTGCTTGCCCGGCTACAAAGTCCACCAGGATTTTGATTAGGTGAGCTGCAGCAGATCTATCAAGCATCTGTGGGACCAACACCTCCAGCCGTCTGGTTGAGCCGCGAGCACTGTATAGTCTGACGCCAGGCGCAACCAGTGCAACCAGCGACATGCTGACATGCTGCGTTGAGCGCAGATGGCGAGACCCAGACAGCACTGCGTCCGCCTTTCTTCGAGACGGAGGGACGCCAGGTGCGTTCAAACGCGCATGCGTCAAAGGAACGCGGCGTGACGAAACGAACGCCGGCGCGCACACGCGCTGGGTCACGTAGAAGTATATTGGCGCCTTTTGTCTGGATTGTAGTCATGTTCTTACATGACACGCATCTCATGATTATCAAGTTCGCATCATTCGCATACCGTCGTCATCCATCCACGAGACGTATACTACATTTAGCATTTGAAATTACGTTTTCACTATGGTGCCCACCTAGCAACGAGACGAATCAACACCGCCTGTCCTCTTTGATGACTCTCCGCATGCCCACTGGGCTAGACCAAAGAGAAGCCACCCTTCTTCATCGCCTATGGCTAGGAGCGGCGTTAACAAAATATTATTCCTTTTGTCACAGGAATGGCCGACAATGCTCTCTGCGATGGCTGTCGATGCGAAAAGACGCTACACCACATCCTGTGTGACTGTTCCTTGTATGACATTCAGAGACAGTCACTGGCGTTCATTCTCACGCGCATCGACAACAGCCAAATGTCTGTGGACACTATTCTATCAAGTGCCCGAGAGAATACATTGCAACAGAAGGCGACGAAAGCTCTGTTGAAATTCTACGCGACACGGACTTGAACAAGCGGCTGTAACAGCAATGTCACAAACCGCGAAAGACAAGACTGGACTATGACTGAGCGTGCGCGCGTGTGCTGCCGAATGTGCTGTGTTTATCTGTCTTCCCTCTCTGCTCTCTATCTTTCATCTCCCCCATCCCCCTCCCATGCGCAGGGTAGCAAACCGGCTGCTTATAGGCTGGATAACCTCCCTGCCATTGTTTTCTTCCTATTTTTCTTCCTTCTTTTGAAGGTAGCGATACGGTCGCGAGCGCATCATGAGCGTGGGACGTAGTCATGTTGTTGCGTGACACGAATGTCATGATTACCATGTTTGAATGTGTCACTTACATATGTCGTCCGTTCACGTCACGTAGTACCACAATTGGTACATATGAAGCAAGCGAAACGGCCGCGAGCGCATCATTGGTTTGGCGTGTCGTCATGTTGCTACATAACACGCATGTCATAATTATCATGTTTGGACTTGTCACTTACATATGTCATCCGTTCGCATCACGTAATACCGAATTCGCTACATGTGAAGCTAGCAAAATGGCCGCGAGCGCATCATGAGGGTAGCATGAAGTCATGGTGATACATCACACGCAACTCATGACTATCATTTCTTAACCGGTCACTTACCTTCGTTATCTATTCACATCCTGTAATAACGAATCCGGTATAAGTGAAGCTAGTGAATCGGGCGTGAGCACATCATGAGCGTAGTATGTAGACATGTTGCTACATGACGCGCATATCATGATTATCAAGTTTTCGCCAGTCACATACATTTGTCAACTATTCACGACCCGTAATGCCAAATTTCGCTATATGCGAAGCTAGAGAGACGGCCGCAAGCACATCATGAGTGTGGCATGTTATCATGTTACATGACACGCATATTATGATGTTCATGTTAGTGTTTGTCGCTTGTGTTCTCCATGACGTCTTGTCATACCATACGAGTTTTGCAACAGTGCATGTTAACGAAACTACTGCTAGGGCAGCAAGAACACTAAATGTAAAACATGGAATTCATGACGAACAATTCATGATTTTCATGTTATTACTAGTCACTTATGCTCAGCATACAGCCATGTTATGCCATACGAAGTTTGGTATCGATACCAATAACAAAACCGCCAGGAGAGCTAAAAGTCATAGATAGATAGATAGATAGATAGATAGATAGATAGATAGATAGATAGATAGATAGATAGATAGATAGATAGATAGATAGATAGATAGATAGATAGATAGATAGATAGATAGATAGATAGATAGATAGATAGATAGATAGATAGATAGATAGATAGATAGATAGATAGATAGATAGATAGATACGCTCAGTCACCGAAGTTTACTAAGAAATGCTTCGTATTTAAAAACTGGCAGTTCTAGGTGGGCACGCGAAATGAGCGAAGCTCCTTGGAAAAGGGACGCAAACGACTGATCTCAATGCTGGCTTTCATGAAGACAATATAGGGTGAAATAGAATGTCTACTGCGCTCGGTGGCGGCCACGACTGAGTGAGTACAGTGTCTAGAAATATAATTCTAGACACTGTAGAGTGAGTGAGCGTGCGGCACGCGCAGCCATGCGCAAGCCATGTGTCGCTGCTTCTGCGCTTCCTCAGCGCCGGAAGCGCCCGCCTGTTGTATTGTTCGGCGCCAATCGGCACACTTGCCCTGCGAAGGAAGCTTCGACGGTGACGGCAAGGTGCCGGCATAAAAAGCTTCACTTCGGAAAAAACATAGGATCCCATCTACAGTCGGGAAAACAGAAGCAAGCCAAATTTTGCGTGCGAGTACCTGACTCGTCTTTCTTTCCTTTCCCTTTCGTCCTGTTTTTTTTTCTTTTTGTCATTCTACAGTGCTTCTTCCAAACTTTTACCTTCCACTATGCCGGAAAACGGACATTTTTCAACGTGCTCAATGGCGCAACACTTTAGTAGCTGCAGTCCACCATGATGCATATCAGGGGTTACGACGCTCAGCTGCTGGCCATAATGTCAAGGGTACGACCTCGGTGGCCACGGAGATCTTAGTTAGGTGGAGGCGAAACGCTGGATACCCATTAACTGTACTACTCTATTGCGCGTTAAGGAACTGCTGATGGATGATATATCCTTAGTGCTCGACGATGGCGACTACGCAATATTCCAGATAATACTATTTCATCAGTGGCAGCAGTTAAGAACGACTGTTGCGCGTTCACATACGGGCAACAGAACAATGTGGTCGCCGTGTTAAATTCCACTTGAGGCACATGTGCTTTGACTTAGATGAACCTTAAAGAACTCAGGTGGTCAATGTTTCTGGAGCCTTTTACTACGGTATCTCTCATAACCATATCGTGGTTTGGACGTTAAGCCCCGTCAAATATGACTAACAGTAAAATCTAGCAATGCGAAAGGACGAGCGACTTTGATGAAACGATCATATTTTCGTGTCCAAAGTGGCTGAACAGTGGCAAGTCTAATTTCGTGAGATCATCAATTATTCAAAAACTACACATGCTGATACACATGCGCCGAGCGTGAGTTTGAGGGCCACGTTTCTGTCGCTTGCTATAGTGCCCAGTTTTTGGGGGCGAAACTCCTAACACTGTGGGTCTGTTCACGGATGTCTCTTTGTGACCGATTCGTAACCACCTAGTTGTATGGCTCACTCAGCAGGTGGTGCTAGTGTGTATGATGAACAGATGGACGGACAGACAGACGGACGACACATACAGATACAGACAGACGGATGAACAGAGGCATGGACGGACACGCGGATCGGCGGAAGCAAGGACGGACACATAGGCGGACGGACGCATGGACGGACGCACGTCCGGGGGGATGGACGAAAGCATGGATGGACAGACAGACAGACAGACAGACAGACAGACAGACAGACAGACAGACAGACAGACAGACAGACAGACAGACAGACAGACAGAAAGACATACAGATAGACAGACAGATGAACGGGTGGACTCAAGGACGGACTGAAGCACGGACGGACGAATGGACAGAAGCACGGACGGATGGGTGAAAGCAGAGACGAATGGATGGACAGATGGAAGGTTGGAAGCATGCACGGACAGATACAGACGGATGCACGGACAGATTGACAAACGGACGCACAGAAGCACGGACGGATGAACAGACAGACAGATAGACAGGCGAACCTGTGGACGCACGCTTCACCCCACTCATCCTCGTTCTTTTTAGGATATACTAAGATTTTTGTTGGATGTTGCCATCATTGAATTTTGTGATATAAAAGCTTCCCTGAAAATTGTTGTGTGTAAAGTGGGTCATTATCTCTTTCATACAGTGTAGTTACATAATTAACGCACTTAGAGCTAGTTACACTGCGCGGAAAACATGGCGGTGCAATCGCAAATAAACGCCGTGTTTGACAGTATTACACGTGTGTGCGAGCGTGTTTTCTTACATAAGGTTCTTACCGTCGTATCAGATTCCCTCGTTGCGTTTCCTGGGTGTCCCATAAGCCACGTTGTGATTGTCCGAAATGTGGGTTGTTAAAGTAAATAACAATAAATATGTGTATTAGTATAGAAAACCAGCAAAACTAACCAAGGAAAACTAAAACCACGAGCAGATTGGAACTAAAGGAGTTCAGTTGACTGGTAGTAATGAACAAAGAATCTCGCAGCCTATACAAAGACAGCTTTCTCGGTGGCCGTAGTAGGCAATACGAATGCTAAGTAAGGAAAAGTATCATAAACTGAAGTTCGCGCAGTTCGTGCAGGTAATACAGTTTGTATGGTTGGTTGGTTCTGCATAAAATGCCCTAGTTGTATGAATGCGTGCATGGACAAAAACGCATATTCTGGCTTCATGCTTGTAGTAAACGTCACCAGAGAACTTTTGTCAAGACACTGCTAAGCTGTTAGGAAGCTGCTAGTGTAGCTAACATTATGACTTTCTTGGAACTTCCGCTCAGGCTCCTGATTTTTCGGCAGTACTTGAATGTAGGTGGGAGTTAAAGGTATGGTACATTTGGAGGAATGGGACATTGCGTCTATCTCTTCTCCAATTGCTTGAAAAACGTTTGCCAACAACTTAATTGAATGGTGCCAACAGGTCGATTACGTGGATGCAATGGCGGGCGTGTTCGGCTAGTAGAGAATTCTATAACTATAATTCGACGTTTTTACGAGCTGAAAGTAAGTTTCTGCTATCACAAAGTGCCTCTCTCGGATTTCAAGTGCTTTGGACGCTAATAAATTTTTTTCGAAAACGTGCATCAGCGCTGTACTTTTTGAAAGAAAAAAGTTCAAGCTTTACGGTTGAACTTTAGTCGCTGAGCTTTGTTTACTTTGGGAAACGTAGTTGGGGAGTAATGGGATGGTTGATTTGAGGATGAAACGGGACAATGTCTTGTTCCTCTCTATCATGCAGACACACTGCGTTCATCACCATCATCATGTTCCGCCTATGCATCATGGTCCTCTGCTTCCTGCAGCCACGTTACACCTGCAACCTTCCTGATCGCATCTGCCCAACTAATTTTCTGTCACCCACATTTTTGCTATTACGAGTTATTTTTACAGCTGTACCAGGAGCCATGAGAGCCAGTGCGTCTAAGACTTTTTGCAGCTTATTTAGAAATGTATTATAATCAGTCAGACATCCTTCTCTATTCACGTAGAACAAAACTGAAGGTATTGTGAAAATTGTCTCAATTCTTCCGATTATCTACTACTTGTCACCAATATTTCATTGACTTGCCATAAATATAAACAATGGAGGAAACATGGTCTTCAAGATACCTATGTTATAAACAATCTGAGTAGTCACCTACCCGAAAAAATACCTTTAGTTGCCAAGCTTGAAGCACTGTATGATACAAATAATGCAAGCGTAAGAGTTGATTTGTTCATGATTCATCAAGTCTGTCGTTGAAAATCTGGATTGGAGAAACAAAATATTAGTA